ATATATATATATATATAATATTATTCAACCATGAGAAAGAAGGAAATCCTGCCATTTGTGACAACATGGAGGGAACTTGAGGGCAGCATGCTAAGTGAAATAAGTTAGAGAATGACAAATACTGTGTGATATCACTTACACGTGGAATGTAAAAGCGCTGAATTCATAGAAACAGAGTAGAATGGTGGTTACCAGGGGTTGGGGGTGGGGAAATGGGAGATGTTAATCGGAGGGTACAAACTTCCAGTTATATAAGTTGGGGGACTCTAAAGTACAGTATGGTGATTATAGTTAATAATACTATAATTGAAATACAGTATTTCAATTGAATACTGAACTTGACAATTGCTAAGAGAGTTGACCTTAAATGTCCTCACCTCAAAAAAGAAGTGGTAATTATGTGAGGAGACGGAGCTGTTAGCTAACGTTATGTGGTGGTAATCATTTTGCAGTACACAAGTGCATCAAGTCAACACGTTGTGTACCTTAAACACAATTTTATATGTCAATCATATCTGAATAAAGCTGGAAAAAATAAAGGAATGGTAAACTATGGAATATTCATTGAATAGGAAATCATGCAACCATTTAATCAGTTGCAGAAGAACAATAAAATGGTGTATATTCATTAGGTCAGTGAGGAAAAATAAGTTATAGTATAGACTATGGATTGGGGTCACAATTGTTGGATAAAAACAGAGCAGAAAAATGACTGGAAGGAAATACACTAAAATATTGACAGAGGCTCTCTCTAGGGGTAGGAAATTCTCACATTTTCTATAATAAACACATAATTATCATAATCAGGAGATATACCATAAAAGTTATTTCATATCCCTGAATTTTGCATTTCTATGCAAAATGCAATCATGATTTTATTTAAATGAATGATACTTTATGTAGAAATTCTTCTTAAAAATCTTTTTCAAGGAGGGAAATCACAAGAGAAACAGGACAGAACAAAAGTGATGTGAATAGAACCATGCCCCAGGAAGCTTATAGCTCAACTCACAGGCTAAGCTGGAAATAAAGACCCCTGGGACAAGGGTGGGAAAACTGACACACGATGTCAGAGCAGTTGATAAGGGGGGACCAAAAGCTGCAGTTGACTTTGAAAAGCGATGGAGCCGGCAGATAGGAATTTTTCAATTTTATGAGAATGATAGGGATCTGAAATAAATCTTCAGTATTTTCTTTTTTAAGATAAATGTTTTAAAATAAATGCCTGCAGCATGGATGGATGGCTAGTGCCTGTGAGCTGTCTCAGGGCTGATCATAAATAACACTGAGAAAAATAGCTTTGACCATTCTAAAAAGCATCTTTAGTTTTTACTCTTAAGAGCTTGGAAGATTATGTTTTGATACATTAAGCTAGATTTCTTTTTTAATGCACTTGCAAATATCAAGAGGAGTATAGAGACTGTCTTCAGATAGAAACAATTACTCAGGGCTTTGCTTAAAAGCAAACCTTAGTTTCAAGAGGTGTCGGAAGGGTCTGTGGTCACATCTAATGGTCAGAATACAAATTCAAGTTTGAAAGTATTTTATGGATTTATAATTTAAGCAAATCCTTCAGGTGAAATTATTAATTGTCCTTCAGGCTGACAACCAAGTAATTGCTTATAAATCCACACTTTCAAATATCAGATTTCCTTAAAATTATTTTTCCATTTTGGTCTTTACATTAAGGAGTTTATAACTTTACCGTGGAACAGCTTATTCAACAGCCTCAGGTTCCAAGCTCACTATTGGATGAGAACAAGTCTACTCTGAGGCAGACATAATCAATAATCAGACACATCCCTCATCTTTTAAAGTGTCAGCCTCACTACACTATTATGACTTAATGGCATCCGTTTACTTCCCATTTGATATGTCACTAATTTTTTCTCTTATGTTTCAAAGATGGGTCACACACTCAGATGGAAAGATGAATAAAGGACCCATGTGATGGAAGGACATTTTCTGTGAGAGAGGGGCTGAGGGAAGCCACGACTCAGCTCTGTATTTTAGATCAAATTCATCCAGATAGACCAGAATCCTGCAATTTTATGCCAAATCGCCCAACTTCTAAATGTTGTCTCTGTTTCATTTTTTTAAAGCACACAGTGCATGCCAATCCAAGCATTCCCATGACCTGAACATTTCTGCTAGTGTTTATTTTAAAATCTCATTTCCAGGAGGTTGGTGAGAATTGCTGATTAACCCCAATATGGTTTAGTTATGTCCAAGAAAGGGATGAGTTGGAATATTCCTGGACTGGGAAAGAAGGTCTGGGGAAGACACTTCATCTTTTGTAGAAAAGACAGCATGGGATTTACACTGCCAAGTGGCATTAGGATGAGCTGGGACCCCCGAGGATGGCTGGAAGATGTATGGAAATGTCCCCACTCTAAACACTATGGAAGTCACATTAAGGTACCCTTGGTGGTTATGACTCTACATAAAATAAAGATAAAGCCTTCTTCTGAGAGTCAAGAGTAGTTCCCTCATGCTCTGCAAGAACGCTTACGGGTTTATCTTCACATAAGGCTGAAATTCCCCATTTAACCCCGCTTCTTACTTTTGTAATGTACTGTAATGGAAAAAAGGCCTTCACAGAGCTTATCTCTTAGAAGTATCAAAGAGCCAATTTTTTTCTGTCCAAGTAGCTCATAACGTAGCAGACAAACTGTCAGAAAAGACAGACTTCATCATGGTGAAAACCTCAGCCTGGCACCCATCTATCATAAAGCAATCTTCCAGAAATCTTGAAAACCTTCATTAAATTTCCTGTCTTTCTCTTGACAGTTATAAAATGCTAACAATATTACTCATGATACAGGCATCTTCAGAAATTCTTTGTCTGATCCCTCCTCCCCCTGCCATCACCCATCCCCTTTTCTTCACCAAAATCTATGGAAACATGAGACATAGCCATCTTCTTTGCGCATCCCTCCTAGGACCTGGCCCTTGCAGGAGGTTGGAGGAGGGAGACGTGTAGTCTTGAAGACAAAGATAAGGCTCTCTAGCCACAAGCTGCAAGGGCAAAATGGCACTGCCTCTAGATTCCTCCTCCCAAAGCTGCACCCAGTTCAAAGCTTAAGGGCATGACCTTGTCCCACCCTTAGCAAATAACACTTGATCCTTTTTCTTTCCCTTTTCTCTTGTCAATCTACAAAGTTACAACTTCTCACCTGTCCATGACATGTGGGTAGTGGGGACAGTGGGTCACACATCTCATGTCTATGGATCATTTTTCTAGAGAGAAAATTCCCCTACGGACCTTGCTGGCTCAACTTTTTCTATTCTAGGGGCCAATTCAGCGATATAACATCTCTCAAAAGAAGAAGACATAAGGGTCTCGCACTGGAAGCGACACCAAGGAGAAAAACCTTAGGGTGATATAGAAACCACACCAGGAATCAGGAGAGGCGTACAGCTTTGAGATCACAGGCTGATCTGTGAGTGACACAGGTGGGGGCAATAGCAATAAAGCCCACGCCTGGGCTTCGAGACGGTTTCCCAACACAGCTCCCAAGTGAGCGGAGCCCAACCACGCGGAGCCATCACCTTACCTGCAAAAGGAACCGGTGCATCTTTATCCAGGGCGACCAGCGGTGGGTCCAAAATGACCGTGTCATTGTTCTCCGTGATGACTCCATGATATGAAGTCTCAATCCATGGTTTGTGCTTGTTCACTAGAAAACAATGGGAAAAAAATAAAACAGAAAGATTGACTTTGAACATCATCATTTGAATAACTAATCCATAACGATATTATTAATATTGTACATTTGCACACCCATAGGCTCTCATCCAACCTCACATGAGGGATATAGAATACGTTCATCCTATTTCACACCCAGGGTGGCTTCAGAGATGTGCTCAGACTGGTTCAACAATTCACTCAAGGCACATAGAAAGTAAGGGCAGCACTAGGACCCAACTACATTTTTAGTTCTAAGACCATGGCTCTTTCACCTTACCAAAATCCCATTATTTCTATTTCTTGATGCCCAATATCAAGAGATATTTTTAAAAAATCAATCAAAAGCTTTAATTCTCAAATGCTACCATCTATTAATAGATGTTTCAGAGTTAAAGCTTATCAATCAACAAACTAGCAGACTGCAGCTGTGTGCTGGGATTTCTGACCTCAGCCTAATCTGATCCATCATTAGGAGCTGTTACTGCATTTTATATACAGATACACATGTAGGAACCAATATATGTGGAAACATACAACAAATGTTTGAATATTTTCTGATCATTTAAGGTTGTGTCTATCTAAATGGTCTAGATTATCTAGTATTTTAAGTGGCTCTTCAATAATTTGACCAGCTGAATGATATACTATATAATGTACAATTAATACACTTAAAATGCATATCAAATATATGTTACTAGTTTAAGCATGTCCCCGAAAAAAAGATTTGGAGTCCTAACCTCCAGAATCTTGGAATGTGACCTTATCTGAAGATAGGGTCTTTATAGAGGTAATCAAGTTAAAATGAGGTCATTAGGGTTGGCCCTAATCCAGAATGACTGGTGTCCTCATAAAAAGGGGAAATTTGGACACAGAGACAGACATACACACAAGGAGAAGGTTGTGCTGCCACAAGCCAAGGAACCACCAAGAGCTGTAAGAGAGACCTTCAGAGCAAGCATGGTCCTGCTCACAATTCGACCTCAGACTTTTGGCTTCCAGAACTGTGAGACAGTAAGTTTCTGTTGTTCTAAGCCACCCAGTTTGTGGTACTTTGTTAGAAGCAAATGAATACAAGATAATGTAAAGTCAGTCAGCACCAAGACTTGTGCCAGGATTGGTGTAAGAGTCCCATGTGATGATCTGATCTGGTGAATACCCTATTCCTGTCAATTCCACCTATGTAAATAGCTACATGGCCTCTGGATTGGTCTTCCAGTAAGTCTTGTCCTCACTCTAGTCCATCCTCAACACTGGCATTAAGAGTGATTTTTCTAAAATATTAATCTAATTCTTCCACTGTGAGCTCCTTGGTTTGCCTTCTTATTCCCCCACGTATCCTCACAGAAGTCTGGGTGCAGAGTAGTTAGCAACCAAACAACAGATAAGAGGGAGCCCTAGAGTAATCAGAGGTGTCCGAGTGCCAGTCCTCACACTTGGCTTCACAGTTTCAGAGATGTTGTCACATACATGATGCTCCCCACTGCAACTTGCAAAGTAAGTGTGGTCATTATGAAAATGATAAAAGAAACTACTTTCACAAGGTGTGACTTCCCCAAGATGGCCACAAGGTTAACAACTAATCATTGTGAAAACCAAAACCTCTTTCATACACTGTGATATTCAAAAAGTGCACACACACATAATATATGTAATACACGTTATATACATTAGACTACATAACTCACATTATAATATATTTTATATACACAGTGCATGTTGCATATTTTTTCAATAGCCATGGAAAAACAAGAGCTTATACACAGATCTGAGAACAGCTCGGTTGCAGCTGTCCCCTTCCCACTCCATCATGCTTCAAAACGTCAGTGAAGAGCTGTTCCAGGATTGGTGGTGGGCTCCACCTGGGCTGCCATTTTGCTCTCTGTCTCCCATTCCACAGCAACCACGAACTAACTGAGAGGCAGTTTAGTGGGGCAGGGACATATGCATTGCTGTTCTCAGGTCTTGGCTTCTGAGACCTATTCTGGTGATTGAATCACACCCAGGGCAGAGAGCTGCTCTGCCTAGAGCAGGTATTAACGGGCTGCAGGCACATCCATGCTCACTTGTTGGCATTCAAACCAGTGCTTCATTATGGACCGTGGAAGAATTACAGCCACTCTGGGCTGTCCCCACACTCCTGTGCTCTTTTATTAGCCATCAACACAAATGCAATGTAAATAATTTGCAACTGTTGGGAGAAACAATTAATCTTTTTTTCCCTTTAATTAAACCTAGGGGCCTATTCAATTAGAAATGTGTACAGAGGATATGCCAGGAACTCATCTAGTGTTTCAGATTCATGTGCCACTTGGCTCAGTGGCAGACAACGGAATCTAGAGTCACAGCACTGGACTTCACTGCCTTGGCCACTTCAGGGCTGGTCCTATATGAGTCAGCTGGCCTCAGTATCTCAACTCTGCCACCTGTAAAATGGGGAAGAAGGGGTTGCCATGGGGTTGTCGTGTCATTCAGATGTTCTGGGCGGAGCACATAGCCCCTGACATTTCATTACCCAGACTCACCCCCTGCTCTCTGGGCAGTAACAGTGTCTGCAGGAGAAGTGCTTTGTTGCCCCTAAAGTTGAGAAGTCAAGATTTCTCCCTCATTAGTGGGGATGGGTTTATTTCCTTCTACCCACAGGCCTGCCTCCCTTTTCTCCTCTCTATTACTACTACAGTTAGTTGAGTACTTATTGCATATTAGGCATTTGAAATACATTAATTAATCCTCCCAACAAACCCACTAGATTAAACTTTGTATCGCATTGTGCAGGTGAGGAACTGAGCCTCAGAGGGGTTTAGATGCAACCTTTTTTGGAAAATAAGAAGGTTCATATCCCTAAAATTTCTTCATTTCTCTCCCACTTTTTAACTTTCTTTAGATCTATCTCAAGTTTTGTTTTGTCAAGGTTGATAAACATTAGCATTTTGATGAGTAATTAACTTAAAAACTAAATCTTTGCTTTGAGTATAGATCAGATCCTCAGGGTTGCAAACTAATGACTTACATTGACATAATTTTGACCATGAGGATACCATTCATGGCTGAGCCAAGTATTGTGTTAAGGATTATTTTTCCTTCTTAGTGGTCCAACAGTCATTTCAAGAACACCATTCCTTGTATTCAAACCAATTGGATTCTTGATTCTTTCATACCATCAAAAAGCTGAATCATACTCCATTTTTACTTGCATCATATTTGGAACTAGCCTTCTTTGTATATTATTTGTTTTCTGAACTTAATGATTGTCTTTTGATTTCTGTTGAGTAATGAAACATAAGACTTCTTCCTCACATCCCAACAATATTATAGCTTTTTAATCATTCCATCTATTACTCATTCTTCATTTGTAAAATGGAGATACTTACTTCATAGGAATATTGTGAAAACTGTGTGATCATTGGGCAAATCTACTACCCCTGACGTGACAAGGCATTCAAGTACTCTTAAGTCCCCCTAGCTCCTCTCATGCTTCTGAGTGGTTGAAGTGTGGCCTTACATTCTCAGAGGAATGCAGCCCAGCTTCATTCATTCAACAAGTATTTATGGAGTACCTAAAATGTGCAAACATAGTCTGAGCGTTGGCATTAAAAGGGGGTTAAAATGTCCCTGAAGAAAGCATTTGACAAAATTCAACATCCATTCACAATTAAAACTATCAGTAAAT